CACACACACACACACACACACACACACACACACACACACACACACACGCACACACACACACACACACACACACACACACACACGCGCGCGCGCGACTGCCTGTATTTTACTGTTCGTTCTTTGCTTATATGTTAACCTTAACTATTTATGTAGTAGTTTTAACTTTACCACAGAATTTTTGTTTCGTTTCCTAATTTCAAATTTATTCCGCAAAGGTTTACCTGGTGTCTCATAACACAGGGTTTACCTAGTTTGGCACCAGTCTTCCACAATAAAAAGTATACACTGTAGTTTATATACTAGATATAAGTTCCACTGTGGAAGAGAATAAATACATTATTATTATTAAGTCAAAAGTGAAAATCATTTTACTTTTCTACTCCTTAGACTATGGAAACCATAGGTCGATTAACAACCATACGATAACTCCATTGTCGATTCGATTTGATATCGTACGATTTCTTTTCATTTTTATTCACAATACCCGAATCGAACGTCAAAAAATCGTATTCGAAACCGGACCGAAATGACGTCACTCCCGTACAATTACTCCATACGTACACCTACACTTGGAAAAAATATTATTGATTGCCTATCACCTGTCTATCACCATGGAAGGTGTGATATTATTAGGAGACGCAGACGTCAGACGATGTAATATGAAAGTCGTTATTTTAGGTGAAGTCTGAATTTTGTTCAATTTCATTAATTTATTTTAATGCAAAACTAACGCATTTCTATATTTTAGGACTTTAAAGTCTTAAAAATGAATGTAAAAGGATTTTAATTTTTTCTTATAACCTATTTCATTTTTTACAATCTATTATAAACTGCCTCCGTGGCCGAACGATTACCATACCGGACTGCCACCCAGAGGTCTCAGGTTCGATTCCCGGGCTGGGAGAAATATTTGTATGGCCTAGATTTATTTCTCTCGTGAATTTGGGTGTAATGTGTGGTTCTCTATGCGTGTGTTCAAGGTACAACACAGGTTTTCCATAGTGCTGGGCTATGTTGAGTATGTGCGTTATTATTGTTATTATTTCACCGACTAACTCCGTAAACGTTGTTGGATAACGATATCGTATACCAATCTCAATCGATCGTTTAACGCGAATGTTCTAAATAGCTCGGAAAGCGTTTTCGATTCGAGAACAATATTCAATCGATCGATTCGGTTAAAATACCGAACAGTCCTGAATCGGGCTGCAGGTGCTCCACGAGCAAGAAGAGCACAGAACGCTTCTATAATGAGTTTCAAAATAAATACGGCGTTATTTTTTGACTCTACTCAACGCTCTACTAGGCAGTAGATTGGTTAAAATTGGTTAAAATATAAGCGGTATCACGGACACTTCTATCTCGTTGGTTTTTTGTTTTGTAGTGTTTGTTTCGATTTCGTTGGGGTTTGTTATCATGGATTCTACACGCACTCAGTGCCTATTGCAATACCTGCTAGTAATAAAATGCTTTCTTTATCTTAATTTCAGATGACAACATCTCACTGAAAGCGTTTCCCACGCCATCATCAATTGAAAATGTACCCCGCCATCGTAAGTATATTTTTGCAACGATTTTTAACTGATTTCAAAAAGAAGACTGCTCGATTTCGTCCAATTTTCTTTACCAGTATTAATGGAATTTAACAAATTCCCAATTTACAATGCCGCGGACGTAAACCAGGGTTGATGTCGATGCTAATTTTTAACCTTAACATCTATCTATATATTATATTCTTTATCTACACACATATCATAAACCCTCTATGTGTTCAAAAACCGCTAATTACGACCAGCATAAAGATAAACTGTTATGTTAGAACAATTTTTTTATCTGTGAAAATGTATAATAACAATTGCTTCATAATAACATCCAATTCAATTTTACTATTACATTCCGAATTTCGAATATCTCTGAAAAACAAAACAATTTAATTCGACCTCAATTCTAATATCAGTCGAGATGAAGTTTTATTCGAAATGAAATGTCAAAGGCAAACAATTTTGACAAATGAGTTAGTGACCTTAGAGGATGGAAAAAAAAAGTTTAAGTTCTTGATTGTCGGCGGGAGGGTGAGCTAACATCGAGGGTGAGCGCGTTTACGTCTCCTATGTCGATCATACAACTACGTCAATAAACGCCGCAAAATTGGAGATTCAAGCGTCTTTCTTCACCCATCCTCGCGCTATTACCTACACTTGCATTATTAATTTTTTTTATTTTCTTTTTATTTATTTATTCAGGACATTCCACATAGAAAAACACTACACATTAAATACCGAACATAATAGTTTAAAACTAAGTGCTCCTACACTTAAGGAACATCACAGCATGCAATGACTACTATGAAATATCAACAAAATTATTGTTGTTTTAAATTATGCGAATATATAGTTAATCTAGCTACTTATAAAATCGATATTCACAAACTGATTTAAGAAATAAAATATTAACATATAAATTTTTATTGCATCTATATCATTGACTTACAAAATCTATATTCAATTATTTCTTGTGAAATTACTCCACTAGTTTGTTATAATTATTAATACAAAGATCGGACACCATGAAAGACCGTGACCGTGACCAAGACCGTGGCAGACGCTATACCAACTAAGCCACAGAACGAACCAGCGGACCCCACGAATTTTTCTATGTGCTTGCGTCGTGTCTTTGTATTCGGATTTTCAACGACTTTTTAGTCGTAGCGCCATCTATGAGAAATCTATGAAAGATTTATCACCCAGTTTGTACCTTTACAGCTACCAGTGGCTGAGTTGGTATAGCGTCTGGCACGATAAGCTAGAAGACGTCGGTTCGAATCAACCGGACCGAAGGAATTTTTTCTGAGTGTTCGATCTTTGTATTAATAATTAAGTACTATAAAATTAATTGAAATGTAATTTATGTATTTATAATATCATCCAGCCTTCTTTTGTAACTGTTCAACAAAAGACCAATGTCCAAATCACGTGATTTGGAAAGCGAGTTATACGCCCTGCAGAGCAAAGAGAGAAAAGACCGAAGTTCGTTTTTGAACCTGGACCCCGATTCAGAACTCTTCGATATTTTAACCGAATGTTTCGATTGGATATCGTTCTCGAATCGAACGGGGCTTTCCGAACTATTAAGAACATTCCGAGTTAAACATTCGATTCGGTTTCGGATACGATATCGTTATCCAACAACGTTTACGGATTTAGTCGGTGAAATAGATTATAAGAAAAATGAAAGTCCTTTTAAACACATTTTTAAGGCTTTAAAGGCTTGAAATATAGGGATGCATTAGTCTTGCATTAATAAAATTGGACAAAATCCAGGCTTTATTTAAAGTAATATGATATTTCCATATTACATTCTTGCTTTGTAAACAATAGGACGTTCGGTAACTTTCATTCGATACTTGTGTTCTGAATAATGTTTGTAGCCTTTGCCGGTCGAGAAGTACGAGTAATCGTACGGGTGTGACGTCATTTCGGTTCGGTTTCGAATACGACGGTTTGACGTTTGATTCGGGTGTTGTGATTAAAAATGAAAAGAAATCGTACGATATCAAATCGAATATCGACAATAGACTTATCGTATGGTTCTGAATCGACCTGCAGGTATGGCAAAAAAGTTGTAAGCGCTTTTCCTGGGCAACCTACAAGGAGTATTGAATAGCAACATGTTCAATAACTCAATAAAAAAAAGGACAATCTAATGAACCGTTTACGTGTATAAATATAGGAATAAAGTATGTATAGTGAATGAAGTAAATAAGACGACACTATTTTTATTAGATCAATAACTAGCATTATTAAACATGTATTTAATATTCTCTTCTCTTATAAAAAAATCGACTTTTAGCTAGACCACAACAAGGAATACTCGTATGTTATACTATACCTACTGGTCATTTTTTAAATTAGAAAGCTCTTAACTTGTCATGTACAGTCCTTAAGAACGCTCATGCCAAAAAAATTTTGACGTTGGCTCCGCACAAATTTGTGAAACAAATATATGCCTGAAGTTCGCGTGACATGCGACAGGAGATGTTGAATTTTGCGCATTAAAAGTACCAAATTCGTTTTAGCGGAATAACTCTAAAACTAAAGGGATTCAAAAAAAATCCGTAGTGACAGTTGTCGATCGTGCATAAATATAATTAATTATTTAATTTTTGTCCTAATAACCTGTAGCATTTCGAGGATAAATAGAAAAAATGTGAAAATTAGAGGTCATTTCGTGATTTTTATCTATCGAGGAAACTTTATTGTTTTATGTTTCTGATTAATGTCTATGCTTGAATATATCGTGTAGTTATTCATACAATATTTTATTTTTAACTTTAAAGTGGATATACCTCTCTAAAATCAAATCGAAGATTAGGAATTTTTCCTCTGCTCCCTCTTGAATCAACTCTCATACTACGGTTAATATTGATCATGAGTTAAAATTAATTTCTGAAGTTGACAAATATGCATGGCATTGTGTGTTACAAACAAATTTACTACTACTATTATGGGTAGATGACGCTAATCCCAAACAAAACAAAAGAATAGCCGGTAATATCCATAAAATCTGTGCAATAAGCGCCATCTAGTTGATCTGTTTGTTATCACTAGAAATTAGAGTAGCTTTGACAAATTGCAACTTGTCAATGTGAAAGAAATTAGTTACAAAAATAGTAATTTTGAAATGAAAGCCATAAGTATTTGAACTGTCTTTCTGTCAATTGAAAATTTAATTTAATTTAATTTATTTATTTGCATATACATTATTTTAAAAAGCACGTATTATATTCAGATGGAACTGTACCACGAAACACAAAAGCATCGAGGAATCGAGTGGCACCACCGAAACCAGGAAAATCGGGTCAATTGCAGAAACAGACTAAAAATCATCCAAATTTGATTAACAGACCACGACCGAAAGGTGAGAATAAAAAAGAATTTTAAATTGTATATTTAAATTCATTTATTTCTTTGATATAGGGATTTACAGGTGTTCCAAAAATATTTTCATATTTCTACCGTGTCAAACCAAAACACTCTAATATCAAATTATGAGAAAAAGCTGCGTAAAGGATTTTTCGGCTTCTTGTAATTTTTTATGATAAAATATACATTTAACTTGCGTTTTTCAATGGAAAGTAAGTTATTTCTATAGAACAACGAATAAATTTATATTCCCTCGTTAAAAGCCGAAATGCAGTGTTTTTTGACGACAACTCACCGAGCACGGGCGCGTGCGTCCGTTTCTTGCCCGAACTGCACCCGCTCTCTGTGTGTCTCACGCTTAAGTTCTTTGCGAGTTAAAAGCTCTGAGTGGCACTCAAGTGTTATGGACAGGTTGTTCGTCTCATCCCTTGATATCATCAATATATATATATATATATATATATATATAAATTGACGATTCGCTCTGGGCTTTATGGAGGGAAAAGTGTCGTTTTTATTTTGACTTTCAATTATTTTGTGAAATCCAGTTTAAAGTGGAATAGGATAGTGTTATTGTGCCTTAATCGAAGATTAAAACGCGAAATTATACGAATCTCGAACTAAAATACCCGTATCGGCCCGTTCTAAGGAGTCCCCGTTCCCGAGTCAATCCAAGCACGCCGCCTCAAATTGCCTATCCTCTTTGTGGCGGCCATATTTACAGAAACATAATTAAACGAAGACATGGCTCAAAGGACTTGTATCCAAGTCAAAATTATTAATAAAAAAAAATTGACATATCGATTGCGAACTGGCAACCGGTACTATCTCAATTTTGACAACTTTACAGGATGAAAAAAAAATTACTTATATAGCATCTGGTTTATTAAATAAAAATACGTACAGTCAATTCGGGTAACTTTGAATCGTGGTGTAACTTTGAACGTAGTTGCGTAAAAGATTTAAAAATTTATTTTATGTATGGCGATCTTTTATTTTTAGTATTGAAACTGTCTAAATCGGAACAAAATTGTTAAACGAAAGTTATGAAAGAAAAAAGTAATGTTAAATTGTATTTTTTTAAACTTTCGCGGTTTTTCTTGGCGAAAGTAGTTTGGTGTGATTTGTTGCTCAGTTTTAGAATCGGAATTAAATATATAAATCTGAATATTGACTGGTAAGTTTTGGTTTTCACACTTAAGTAGAGGTTTATATATCGCTTTTTTAAAGAATAATTTAATTTGGTTTTGTATTTACGCGTAAAACGAATTAGATTTTGACGACGTTACCAAACAGAGAAATTTGGGTAACTTTGAATATGTTTGACTGTGTTTTTAGAGAAGAGGTAGTAGTAGTAGTCTGTTTCCAGGGAGAGTTCTAAAAGTTACTCCTTTGGAAATTACTGTCTCAGTGCTCCAAAAATGCTTTTTAGGAGGTTGGTCTTGGCCCTCTAACGTTGAGACATGTCAAGTTAATAAAGCCGATATTGTGAATATTATAAAAGAGCAACAGCTATCTAGAAAAGGCGGCCGTATTTACATTGATGACGACATTTTATACAAGGAGTAGGGTGAATAGATTTTTGTTATGTATTTACTTTGCCTAAAATAATTGTTATAGGTGATTCATTTTGATCTCGTTTGATAGCTAAATAAGCGTAGAATTTATTATTAAACAGAAAATTTTCATTTTTATTCGCATTAATTAAAAAATCTAAAGAAAAAACAAGTTTTTCATTTCAACTAAATTAGTTCGTCTCGTTTTATTATGGCAATACCAAGTCAAATGTCGTTTTTGAACGCACTGTCAGGAATATTTGGACAGATTCACATCTAAAAAATATGAATATGTCGTATAATCTTACACAAACTGTAATATATCTAGAAAATATACGGTTTCCATATCGAAGGCTAATCTTATTCAAAGTTACCCAAAATTCAAGGCAACTTTGAATGTGACTTTTGGAGCAAATCTAGAACAGTTTTGTTGAATAATATACTAAATTCCTCCTATAAGAACGAAAAAAGGGCTTAAAAGAACACTATTCAGTTAATAAAGTCATTGTTAAGAAACATAATTAAATTTGAAATTATTAGAAAAACGCAAAAAATGTTCAAAGTTACCCGAATTGACTGTAGTGTATTTTTATTTAATAAACCAGATGCTATATAAATGACGCAAATAATTTTTTCTTCACCTGTAAAATTGTCAAAATTTATATAGTATCGATTGCCAGTTCACAGTCGACATCAAAAAAACATCACTTAAGATACTTAGAATCAGAACTTATATGTCAGTATCAAATCTGATAGCATTATTATTATTGATTATAGTCCATTTGTTAGGTACTTAACTAAGTGTAAATCTTTTTATTGAAATTCATTCACATCTCAAACCTAAACAAATGGATTATACATCGACTTATCCGTAGAACAAAGACCTATGTGCAAGGGAGCGTATTCTCAGGACATTTCGTTCGTTGTTCTTCGCTGTGGATATCAGATTGACTGTTGTTCGATTTTATAGCATGATTTTATATTTCCAAACCAAAGTCCTTACTTTGAATAACGAGATTATGTATTTTATCCTGTTTTCGCTGTATAATTACACTGGACTCTGTTCTTCGAATGAGTCGAGATATAATATGGTATGTAGGACTGTTTTCCGCAACTAGACGTCGCAAAGCATGTTTTATTAGATAAGTTAACATTTACTGTCATTTTAGATCCAGAATCAGATCAAGAATCTGACGAATACGACTATCCCGACAACATGGAGTTCAAATCGCCAAAAGTCGACTTGTTTAACCCTACACCACGTAAGCTACAAATTCTTTACTTCTCTTTGACCGCTTAACTGAGGCGGTTCCTGAAGTAGTGGCGCGGTACGGGAGGAGTGACAGTTTACGTAACAGTTATGTGCCGATGCACAAGGGATCATTTCAACAAGACTTTTCTGACGATATTCAATAGCAAGTTAATTGAAAAAAGTTCCTACATGGTTCCTACCAATTTAGTCGATTGTTATAATTATTAATACAAAGATCACTTGGAAAAAATTCCTTCGATCCGGCCGGATTCGAACCGACGTCTTCTAGCGTGCCAGAAAAAAATGTAACGAAACTTGCTAGAAGACTTCGGTTTGAATCCGGCCGGATCGAATATTTAATTGTAAATAGTTTTTGCCCACGATATTGGACATTAATGGGGATTTAAACACGACATTAGCAAAGCGCCGGGTTAAAACCCGGCCGCTTGCCCATCTCTGGTCGTAGCACATGCAGAGAGCAGACATCAAGCTGTGTAATTGTTGCTTCTTGTTTGTGTGTTATTTGTGTATTATCTAATTGTTATGTTTTTTCCTTTCTTTTCGTTTTTTTTTCGTGTTCTAATTATGTAATCGTAATAGTTAAATTTAGGTATGTGTCCTGTGACGTTTCTCTCAACTCAATTCATGTTGTACGGTATGTTTGCAGGTTCTCCAATCAAATGTCCGCCACCATTGAAAAAACAGGCATCTCGCCCCTCAAACGCCAGTGCACGACCTATTCCGCCCACTAAACCAGCTGGGCTTTTCACACCTGGTAAATAAGCACACAATGCAAAAGATTTTTTTATTATTAAGAGATAGACATGTCCGTTGAGCCATGTCTTCGTTTAATTATCGGGATCCTCTGGGATCCTCAGTAATATTTTCCATTGTAATTCTAATACATTATGTTTTCACTTTCTCTTAAATAACTTAGTTCACTTATTTGGGCTTTTTAAATTGTCTTAAACGGTGGGAGTCAATATATGTTTCCACTTTCACTTAAATCAGAATATCTTCTATCACTTTGAACAAAAACTTTGAATTCGTAATTATTGGAATTTTTAGGATAAAGTCTTTTGTAATTAGGCTTAAAATAAGGAATATACTTCTAACTTTCTTCATCACTATTTCTTCGTTTTTTCTTCGTAATGTACTTAAAATAACAATAATCTTCGTAAAACCTGTACTTGTAACTTCAACAGCCCGTCATTTTTCGATCGAGTCCAAAAGATATACATATAGATGTATATAGATGAACGCGTGTAATAGACAGACAAACACCGAAAGTAATTTAAAAAAACTTAGATCTATAATTTATTTTTATTTGTTTATTTATTCATTTCTACATCCTACATCAGGCAACTATGATATTATAACGTAAGGACTAACATAGATATAATATAAAAACTAAATAAAAATTAAGCATAGAGGGCTGATTGCTACTTAATTTTTTAATTTAGAATCAAAACAATAAAATTTGAGAATTACCCTTAGAGGATGGAAAAAAAAAGGAATTAGCAGTAGAAGGCAAGACACAAATGTACCTTAGAGGAAAAAATAAAGGATAGGAGCTGCCCTATCTAAGGAATAAACGTGGCTACCTAAACCAAAATTATACACCACAAATGGCGGATTTCTTTAATGTTGTATCATAACTTCGATAACTCAATGTCCCATGCAATTGAATGTTGAAACTGTTTTTTTATGTTTGTAATTTGTATAGTTTACTGTAGTCAATGTATGATTAAAACATTTCATTAAAGTATGTCAATATTCCATTTGGGAATGTTTTATGTCATATGGCAATATCCGAGAATGTCATATGAGATTTTGAATTTGTTATTTTGCATTTATAAACGCTCAAATATTACAAAAAAAGTGAATTTGCACAGAAAAAATGTAATTTGAGAGTATGTTAAAAAACTTCTTTCAAAATGAAGCGAACAAACGAAAATGTTATTTGATCCAATTTTTATGTTCGGCAGTGCTATAATTTCCAACCATTCTTTCTTTCTTTTTTTATTTGTTACCTTTAAAAATAAAAGAATAATAATGAAATAACAAAAACCTCGTATTCGAATTGTTTTAATAACAGAATATCGATAATATGTATGCTTACAAGAACAACACTATCTCAAAATAATCGTTATCAACAATCATCAAAATATACAAACAAACAGGTAATCTAAAGTAACCAAAGCAAAATCAGGCAAGACTTATGAATGAACTAGGTATACTTAAATAAGTCTAATTACACGAGATATTTGGGCTATTGTATGATTTATAGACAGGAAAATAACACATATTTATATTTTTATTGGTTCATTTTCGCTTTTTCTAATGCCGCATCCCTTAATGCTGCAGCGACACATTTTTATCAATAGTTAATTGTTCTCATTGTCAATATTTTTGTTCATTTAATTACAATTCATGCGAATAATTCAATAAAACATTTGGCGAAACATTGGATTTGGCGAGACATTTGATGTTATGCCCTTTGACAACCGTCTCCGTACTGAAACCGAAATGGTAATATACTCAATGAGGTCGATTCACTGTATTCAAATTTCAGTTATTATGAAATAGGATTGTTTCCAATTTCCTTCTGAAAGTGTGCAAAAAACTGATCCAGTGCATATTTTTTTATTAGTAAAGATATGCCATAATGTCTCCGAGTCTCACTGAGGTTTTCAATTTAAAATGTATTAACGTCTTTTCAATTTCAGGTGGAGTGCCCGTAATGAATGAATTGGACAGTGTACTGAAAAAGCAACGTAGTAGTAAGTATAGTTATCGAGTTCTTAGGTTGTCACAATTGTTACACATAGCAAATGAAACTATTTTTCCGGATTTAAATCGCGTATATTTGTTTTTTCAATCAAACTAACGCCACGTTTCAAGCCCTTCACAGATTCCATGGTCACGGTTGACTGAGGTGGTACAGTCATCAACCAGTTATGTCTAATATTAATGCAAACCACCCTATTTTTTCACTATAGTTACAAAAGTTATTAATTAAATACCTTATTTTTAATTTTACAAAGAACATTCCAATTTACGCTGCATCTGTTTTACAAATTATATTATTTGACAATATGACTTTTTATTAAGTTAAATTTATAATTAATTTAATAATCGAAATTAGAATAAATTAAAACACATTAATCAGTACTGCAGGCTTATGTCTGTTTGGGATTTTTAATCAGAGGAAATACTGGATCCCAAACTGGTGGTACGGAGAAACCATCTTCCCTGTTGAAATTAGGATGTTTTTTTAATTTCAATGGCCTCTCGCACGTCGTAATGTTGGTTTGATTGAAAAAACAAATGTACGCGATTTAAATCCGGAAAAATAGGTTCATTTCCTATGGTAAGTATAGAGTTATTGTCGTTGTTTGACGATATAGGTATTTGTCGACCTCGGTGGCCCACCGGCTTGCATTGTGGGCACTAGATGAAGAGGTCCCGGTTATACTATGTATAATAAGACAAGTATAATAATAATAATGCAGACACTCATAGCCCCGCACTAGGTGTAAGAGCTGAATAGCGACACTGTCCTTACAGGGTGTTACCTCGTGATCGCGGTAACCGTTAACACGAGGGTGTTCTCGGAGTAGTTTGATAGAATAAAAAAATTTTTCTAAGTGTAAAAGTAATGTTGCTTAATTGTAAATAAAAATGTAAAATAAATGTTTTTTAAATATTTATTAATGTTAAGTGTTAATCGTTATTGATATTTATTGTTTTTCGATTTACCACATCAACAAAATTAGAACTAGCACATCTTACTACAGCAAAATAAAACTAGAATTAGACTAAGTCAATGCAGCAAATCAAGTTAAGTTAGTGTACAGTTACGTACAACAGTAACCGTACACTAGGTTTAAGTAGCTACATAGCTCCTTGTGAAAGAGTTCATCCAGGGAAGTACTGTCACCTTAGCCATTTCTGAGTGTGTAGGTAATTACAGGCACATGGGACTTGTCAACTTATGTCTCAGGGTGGCGGGAGCAGTGGCAGTGCCCCTAAGATCTTTGCTATTTAAATCTTGAGTAGCACTGCAACTGTTATGAATAGGCGCGTCGCTTACCAACAGGCGCACTACTTGTTCGTCCCGTCACTTGGTATAATAAAAAAATTTGGGAAAACCTGTATCGCGTGTCCATGAACACACACATAGACAACAAGAAATTACACCTAAACTCATGAGAAAAATAAATGTTGGCCATTCAAATATTCCTCCCGGCCCGGGAATCCAACCCGGGAGCTCTACGTGGTAGTCCAGCATGGTAATAGCTCGGTCACGGCGGCAGTTATGATAACTCCATACAAGCGTAGCAGAGTGGCTTGTATGCACGCCCGCTGCACGCCCTGTACGGACACATTCGCATAATTTTGCGTTGCATATGGCGGATCGTCGCACGCGCCATTGATTATAGAATTGAACCAAAAAAACCTAAGGTGCCTTCAAATTAAAGGCTTATAAAAGTACTGCAGTGACACCACTTCAATTTTGATACAATATTTAGAAGCGCAGTTGCAGCGTCACTGTCGTGATGTCACGTCGTGCTACTTTTATTTATTATTTCCATAATGGGGGCCACCAGTCTTGAGCCAGTGTCGGTTTCGATGTATGTTGTCGGTTTAATCCCGGATTTCTATATAAACGGATGCCTCTCAGCTTTCTAACCAGAGTTGCGTAGGATCGTCCGTATGGATCCTTAAGTTTTAAATTTGTGTTTTTTTTTGTTGTTGTAAATATTTATTTTTCAATTTCATGCTTTTAAATAAAAATAAAACTTGTAACGTCTGTCAAATACAGTCACATTTAGTGAACTATTAATCTCCGGACAGAGTAAAAAAACCGATCTCAAAAGTTCGTCGAGTTACACCTATTTACCAAGTTTTATTGAAATCGGTTACCGCAAATTGCGCGAAACCGATTTCGACCCCTAGTTTGCCAGAGGTGGAATTTTCTTCAAATTTAAATGGGACCAATGAGGTACCCTCTTTTCAACAAAAAATAATCATCAAAATCGGTCCACAAGGTATCGCGAAACACATACAGTCGAACTGAGAACCTCCTCCTTTTTTTTACATCGGTTGAAAATGACTGCAACGCTTCTACAACCGTCTAAAGGCGCGTTCCCATTATGTCGTGACAAAAGATTGTCGTACAGTTTACAGTGTCGTGGCTTGTATATTTAAATGAAGTTGTTCACATATAGCACGACACGATTAACTGTCGTTCACAATTTTTTTCGTTACAACGACAAACTGTCGTCATCGTCACAGTGGGAACAGCTAGAACGACAGTCGTCTGACGATAAAAACGTGACGACAGATTGTCGCAGTTCCTATTGTCGTCACGTTTTATTTATCGCTGTCCGCACGTATTCTGCTCCCCTGCCCTCCCCTCTCGTAACCCGCGCCCTCTGCATGCTTTGCAGTAGCGTTGGGTCGTAACCAGAGATGGGCTAGGAGGCTGTCGTGAAACGATAAATTGTCGTCACTATCTAGTGGGAACAGCTACTCACGACAATCGTCCAACGATAATAAAATTTGACGACATAGTGGAAACGCCTAGTGAAATCGCCCTAATTTGAAGGCGCCCTGATTCCTATTTATTTTCAATGTTACAACGAGCGCGAACTTCATAGTTGCGGTGTATTGAAAACAATTCAATCCAAATCTTCACTTCCGAAGAAATATCCATATATTAGTAAAGAAAAGGCATTCATCGAAACACAATTTTTTAAATCGGAATTAAAAGTTACTCTTCCTGACTTCTCGTCGCTGCTTACTTTTTTAATGTCTACGCCCATATTTTGGGGCACAGACTGTGAAGCATGCTTCTCAATCTTTTCCCATAATATTTAAAATTGTTTCATCATTTTAAACACGTTCCTTTCCCCGTTATAATACATGGTTCAAGTTTATTGTAATGGACATTTTTATGACCCAAAGCTTTGTTAAATTTTTCCACAAAACTCAATTTCAAATAATCTGCACTTCATTTGAAATCGTCATATGGATTAAACCCTACTGCTCATTCGTACGGCAGATTCCCCTGAAAAGAATGAGTGAGAAACTCTAGGGGTTGCTCTTTGTAAATAAACATTTGTACACATTTATCATTTACAATATTGATTTCAAACATCGTCGAGATCGAGACAACCTACATCCCTACCACAGATGTTTGTCATCTAAGTAAGCACATGTTGTATAATAAATAGGGCATGCAAACCGGTTACTCGGTTAACCGAAAAAACAATTGTTTTTTTAGTTTTCTGATACTTTTAAAGAATTATTTGTGTAGCAATAATAAAAACCGAAAAACCCTGTTTTCAAAATCACTCCGTTTTCGCATGCCCTAATAATAAATAACCTTTATTATAAAGTTTTTGTTTCACTACAGTTTTATATTTTATTATTATAGAAGCGTACGGACCGGATAAATGGATAAATGTCTCCTATTAAAGGGAGACTTTATACTTAGCTAATCTAATTTAAAATCTCTACAGAGGCAGCAGTGCCAAATCAACGACCTCCACGTAACCAAAAACCAGGCAACCTAAAGCCAAAACATCCACTTCCGGTTTCACTAAGTAAAGTGCAACAGATGAATATGAATCAGTTGAAGTCTCCAGTCCTGGCGAATAAGCCTTTGCCACCACAACCAAAGGATATTGAGCCACCCAACCCGGTGTGGAGACCAGGTAAGCCACCTATTCCAAGTTCATAAATTAACCACGAAAGCCTAGTGAATGGCATAGACAAGGGCCTGAAGGAATTTCGGAACAGGACTTTTGTAAATAGGTCTTTTCAGAGTCTTCATAGTACAGGCACACGCCGGACACTCCATACAACGGTCGAAAGTTATTTACCTACTACTACTACATACAGCAAGGCGCTATCTGCACACGCACAAATGTGTGCGTCAAGTGTCAAGGTTACCCGTCACTTTCTCGTATTATTACGTGACGTGGTCAGAGCGGCAACATAGCGAAAATTCTAACGCGAATCTGTTATCTATAATTCTATTAATAGAATCCTAATAATTATACATTTTCATTGGGTATTTATATCAATATAATATTTTTCATTAATTCACTAACTAGAATAATTAGGTAAGGTATTCACTACATAATATTTATGGGCAAATTGAAAATTTGAGAACCCTTATAATCATTAATACAAAGATTGAACACTCAGAAAAAATTCCTTCGATCCGGTCGGATTCGAACCGACGTCTTCTTGCATACCGCATACTTCATAGCGTCTGGCACGCTATACCAACTAAGCCACGGAACGAATCAACGGACCCAACGAACAACGAAAAACTTTATTTTTTATGTATTGTCAAGAACCGGATATTCCCTTACGCCTCTAAGCCTTACGCTACTAACGCATTTTCTCGGTTACGCAATAAAATTTAATTTTTTTTATTTATTTCATTTGCAATAAAATAAAAAAGAACTTTATAAAACTACGCTCCGGTTATAACTTAACGGATGGAACAAAGACCACAGGTTCCTGGAGTTGAATGATAATTTCTATTATCTGGAGATAGACGTAATAATTTCTTTTTTTTTTTTCATTTTATTGTAGCGCCAGCAGCCCCATTCCAGAAGCCACTCATGCCAGCACCTGAAGCAGGTATATAGATAACACTATTTTTTTTTAGCAATATTTTAATCCTCGTTGACTAAAAACGGGGAAAACGTTTTCTTCGCTCCTAACATTTTGTATTCTATACAGCCATTTAAAAAAATACAAGATGGCGCGAATTTATGTCCAAGGGTCTATATAAATATATATAAAGATATATTTTAACTGGATGACCACTTTGATGACTGAGAAAGTGAATGAAGTAAATAAGACGACACTATTTTTATTAGATCAATAACTAGCATTATTAAACATCAATTTAATATTCTCTTCTCTTATAAAAAAAATCGACTTTAGCTAGACCATAACAAGGAATACTCGTATGTTATACTACACCTGCTGGTCATTTTTTAAATTAGAAAGCTCTTAACTTGCCATGTACAGTCCTTAAGAGCTCTCATGCCAAAAAAGCTTTGACGTTGGCTCCGCCCAAATTTGTGAAACAAATATATGCCTGAAGTTCGCGTGACATGCGACAGGAGATGTTGAATTTTGCGCATTAAAAGTACCAAATTCGTTTTAGCGGAATAACTCTAAAACTAAAGGGATTAAAAAAAATCCGTAGTGACAGTTGTCGATCATGCATAAATATAATTAATTATCTAATTTTTGTCCTAATAACCTGTAGCATTTCGAAGATAAATCTAAAAAATGTGAAAATTAGAGGTCATTTCGTGATTTTTGTCTATCGAGGAAACTTTCTTGTTTTATGTTTCTGATTAATGTCTATGCTTGAATATATCGTGTAGTTACTCATACAATATTTTATTTTTAACTTTAAAGTGGATATACCCCTCTAAAATCAAATCGAAGATTAGGAATTTTTCCTCTGCTCCCTCTTAAATAAACACTGAACTTGAAATTGTTCAATTTATCAATTAATCTTTACATCGAATTTAATACGTTCGAATGTTCATTAGATCGATAATTCATAATTTTCAACTTTGAAAAGGCAAAAAGTTTTGAATTACGAAGTCTTGGAACTGGTTGATAGGTATTATAGGAATGCTTTAATTTGGAGTTATTTAAAAATAACATCGCATAATATAAAACAAACGTTTAAACGTATACATATATTTTTGTTTTCCAGAGGAAACGTACGAAGCTGTAAACACAGGTGACTCCGACGACGAAGATTGGACATACGAACCATTACCTTCCTACAATATTTATAATATTTAGTTTTTATGTTTTATTTTAATCAATGTTTAATCATTAAGAAAAAAATACGTGTCATATAAGTGTAGGTCTACAAAAAAGTAGTCAATTTTGTATTATTTAAAATCCCATTATAATGATGATATATCACTATGTATTTACACCTTAGGCGCTGCGCAGATGGAACATTGATCATCGAGTTTCGGCAACTGACAACCCGCAACTAACTGTTTATGACGTTTTCATATAATGTCAAGAAACCGCGCAGACGTAGCAACTTCTGCTGAGAATTTCCGCAATCGACTACAGTTTTCGATTGCCGAAATCCGTGATTAAATAAATTCTTTATTGCCGCAACTAGAAACTTGCAAATTTGTACCGGTTGTCTCCAGTTGCCAGTTTCAGCAAACGGCAACCGCAACTCCCGAAGCAATTTCATTCCCTCCCCGTCCCCCCGCAGCGTCAGTCTTGACTGTGAATTTCGAAAGTTTATTTAAAATTACGGCAACCGGCAACCGTTAATGGAAACTTGTAAAAAGTTGCCAGTTGCGTCAACGAACGTTGCTCCATCTGCGGAGCGCCTTACTCACGCACATGAAGGACAGAGTTCATTCTCTAATAATGTGGAACGAGAACCGTGTTTCTAGACTTTGCTACACAATGTCGAAACACGTATGTTCGCACAAAGCTTTATTTTTCGGACACGGTTGATCGAATAGTCATATAATCGAATGTTCAATTAAATCGAATGCTCGTTAGGTCGAAGTTCATGTGACGCGAATGTTTATTAGGTCAATATTGGTGCAAAATTTCAATTTGTATTAAATGTAGTGTTTAGTTTGTGTATATAAGTACGTAGTACAATCAAGGGCCTATCAAAGTTGTCAAGGGACTTTGGACCGTTCTTATCTTAGACGACAGAGTTGAATTTTAGGGCGGCTTCAAATTAGACGTTTCTAGAAGCACTGCAGGGACGCGGCATCCGCGCGTCTTCACTGCTGTCATTTTTAGTTCACTAATTGTGACTGCAAAAGTAGCGCACACGCATGACCGTGGCGCTGCAATTGCGCTTCTAAATAATCTCAGTACAGCGTACTAAAAAAACTGACCTCAAAAGTACGTGGAATTACATCTATTTGCCAAGTTTTATTGAAATCGGTTACCGGAAAGTGCGCGAAACCGGATTCATCTTCTAGTTTTCCACGTTTAGAGGTAGAATATTTTTTTCAAATTGAAATAGGCCCAATACTGAGGTACCCCCTTTCCAACAAAAAATAATCATTAAAACCGGTTCACAAATTATCCGGAAAAAAAATAGTCGAATTATAATCACAACAACGCAGATACACAACATAGTCCCACACTAGAGGAACCCTGTTTCGAGGTTGCCATGGACAAACACAACAAATTACACCCAAACTCACGAGAGAAATAAATGTAGGCCATACAAATATTTCTCCCAGCCCGGGAATCGAAACTGGGACCTCGGCATTCCGGCATGGTAACCGTACGGCAACGGAGACAATTATTTGAGAACCTCCTCCTTTTTCTCTAATGTCATGGCAAAATACGCTCTGTTTATTTAACTTTTACGTTTTAACTTAAATGACCGTCCCGGGCACGCGCGCGAGCATGGCTTGTATTTGTTATATTATTCAGAGGAATTTAAATGTTGTTGCCTAGTAAATAGAATTCGGATTCGCCATTAACGCACATGAAGGCGTGGTAACTGGGCGCTTAGTTGTACATGTACGATAACTGCCGTCGTTAGTTGAAAGCGCGCATGTGACAATTTTTTGTTAATTTCGTTACATATAAGTGATCAGTTTAAAAAGGCCGATCTATTATTATTTATATTTTTTTCGTAAGTGGATAAGGTATGAAGTTACCGCAAGAAAAAGTAGAGAACTGAGTAATGAGTACGGGCTGTTTTGTCCAGAACTAGCGCACATAAGGTTTGTCTCATTTGGAGTTAAGTAGATATATTTTAATTGTTTCTTACAATATTCTAACGACGGTTTTATTGACGTGTTGAGGATCAAACTTTACATTCAGAAATGGTATAATCATGAATTTCACGTATTTTGAGTTACAACACTATTGTAATAGCAGTGCGACATATTTTTGACTTTACCGTTTTATTTTTACAAAATTAATACAATACTGATTTATTATTTATTGTTATTTTTTGAGACTATTATTTGCAGCAAATTCTTAATAGGAAATGATTATTGTCGCCAATGTGCTCAAATTTCAACAAATAATACGCAAATATAATCAGTTACGAGAAGTCCCGGGATTTTTAGAAGAGAATGTCCACGTTATTCTTTAGTATAGCTAAATTAACTGCCTCAATCCCCGTATCTTTCGAGATATTGGCAAATAACTTTTTTGATTTTGTTTACACAATAAAACCGAAACTAAATAAGTTTGAGTGTAACTTTCATTAATAAAGCAAAGTATGAAATCAATTGTAAATTATACTTAAATAAAACAAAAAACAATACAGTAACAATAACAAGTTTTATTAAATAAAATCAAGTATAAGTATCTAGTAATATTATTTGTTTGCAACTTAAACAACGTTAACTAGTCATCTCTTTGAGGACTTATGGGTTTCTAGAATAGCGGTCTATTTCAAAAGCATCGTATTCATCAGGATGGTTTAAAATATAGTGAGTAGGGTATGCCGCCCAAAGTTGAGGAAATCATGCCGCCCAAAGTAGAGAATCATGCCGCCCAAAGTTGAGGGAATCATGCCGCTCAAAGTTGAGGGAATCATGCCGCTCAAAGTTGAGGGAATCATGCCGCTCAAAGTTGAGGGAATCATAGACCATCCCAATGTTGCCATGTGAGGGCGCGCCCCATATACAATATTTTGAATTGGACCAACTTTTCAAAATAGTAATAGGCATGCAAAAATAACTAGCCAGTCACAGGCTTTATCACCTGTAATGCGTTCGATATTCAAACCGACGAATATCACGTAAAAGGCAATACTAAAATCAAAACCGACCAATCAAATCGTTCCAACAGTAAAATATTAACTAATCATTTCTTTTCTTCCTTTCCCGTTTCTTCAGTCTGCCGTTTCTTTTCACGTATGATTTCATCAATTCGATGCAAATCTTTGAGGTGAATCTCTCCAGTGCCTCTCTCCATAGGTTTTTGCTGCGAAGGATCTGGCTTCCAGCCGAGGAAGTTAATAATTTGGTATGTTGCTGGAACACCGCGGGCGCCGCGGTCGGGCATTTCCTACAAAATCAAATAAATTTATTTCTTCGTGATACACATTGATGTATGAAGATGTTACATTTTGAAGCAATGCGATCCAGCTTGCGGCGTATAAAGTAAATGGACTTGAAGTGGATGGAACGAGCTCGCCCAGAAGATGCCTATTCAGTTGCGTCTTAAAGATACTCTAGTTGTGTGTGCTCGGAAATACAGTCACAGGCAGGGAATTCCATTCCTGGCCTGTTCGCCTGGAGGGAATATCCACCGATATGATATCCCGCCGTACGTCTGACTGTCCGATGGTAAAAGGGTGGCGAGCAGAATAAGCTAATGGAGCTCATGACACTCGCCGAAGCATATAGAAAACCGACACAAAAAAAACACTGCGCCAATGGGCTGAAGTGTGGAATTCAGAGTCGTGCTTATCGTTGTCAATAAGTATGTACACTATAAAATTGTACACTATGAATATACAGAACAATAAAATGAAATCATACACACAAAACATTATAGTCTAATAGAACAAAGGCTGTAAATAGAAGGGCAAGGGCTTTATTGGCCCGAACGCTTGTTCCACCCGTGTGGCTTACAATGTTTTTCTTCACACTTCCTGTGAAGTTGACCACCCCCTAAACGGGACCCAGAAACGACCTATACAATACAGGTCGTTAGTATACGTTAGTATTCCCACTCTCGACGTAAATATGCCCGGGAACAATGATTTTTTTAATACTTTTTGGGGTGGTCAACTTCACACTGCCACCTCAAAACGGATTCTTTCTGCGGCGATCGTTAGTATATCGTAAGTATACGTAAATATATTCGCATACATATTTTTTTCCAAATGGACCCGGAAACGCCTTGCGTAGGTCGATAGCAAATCGTTAGTATACGTTAGTATACCCACATTCGACGGTATTATCCCAAGAGAACAATGATTTTTTCAAAAAAAATAATTTCTTAGGTGATTTTGTTGATGTATTTCATATGAAGCAAATTTTTAATTACGAAACAAACATCACGTTTAACTCTATATTATATTTACAAAATTTTCTTTTTTAGGTAAGTCTAAATGATGAAATTAGGTCAAAAAGAAGCATTTTTGAAATAATATCATTTGTGAACAAAACTCGATTTACAACAAATATTTTGGTAAATGTTTTTATCATCATCAACCCATTTTTACGTCCCACTGCTGGGCACGGGTTTCACTTCAGCACTCCTCTCAGGCGAGGGTTTAGGCTATAGTCCGCCACGCAGGTCTAATGCGGGTTGGGGACTTCACACTTTTCCCTATGGTTGTGAACCTTTTTCCATTTGTAGGTTCCTCACAATGTTTTACTTCATCGAGAAGCTCACGGCCTCTGCTTAAAAGGCAAAAAGCTACCACCGCTTTAACTGGCTTATACGTATGTACCTAACCACTAATTATAAGTATGTAAGTGGTAAATATATATCAGTGAAATTAGTGGATTTCAGTAACTCCCAATGCAGACTCAACTTACGTTAGGATAATAAACGAAAGTACAGAACGCATTCCTTACCAATAGCGTAGTTACCCTACAGTGGTGACCCCGACATTCCAACGTATTATTTTTTTATAACAAAAACTGTAACCATTTTTTTTTAATTTCTGCATTGGGAGTTACTGAAAGTCACTAATGTCACTAATATATATTTTTATTGAGTTCTTAGGTTTTCGCGATTGTTACACATAGGAAATGAAATTATTTTTCCGGATTCAAATCGCGTATATTTGTTTTTTTTTCAAACAAACCGACGTTTCGGGCCCTTTACAGGCCCCATGGTCACGGTTGACTGAGGAGGTACAGTCTTCAACCAGTTATGTCTAATATTAATGCAAACCACCCTATTTTTTCACTATAGTTACACTAGTTATTAATTAAATACCTTAATTTTAATTTTACAAAGAAACATTCCAATTTACGCTACATTAAGTTTTACAAATTATTTTATTGAATGAATTTTTATTAAGTTTAATTTTTATTAATTCAAATAATAGAAATTAGAATAAACTAAAACATATTAATTAGTATACTGCAGTCTTATGTCTGTTTGGGATTTTTCATTAGAGGAAATACTGGATCCCAAACTGGTGGTACGGAGAAACCATCTTCCCTGTTGAAATTAGGATGTTTTTTAATTAGGATTATGAAAAGGATTCATACCATTTCATCAGTGGAATCAAAGATCTACGGTTAACTGATGATGACACCATGGTCAGTTTTGAGTCAGTGTTACCCAGGATGCTGCGAGAGGCCATTGAAATTAAAAAACATCCTAATTTCAACAGGGAAGATGGTTTCTCCGTACCACCAGTTTGGGATCCAGTATTTCCTCTAATGAAAAATCCCAAACCGACATAAGACTGCAGTACTAATTAATATGTTTTAGTTTATTCTAATTTCTATTATTAATTAATAATAAATTGAACTTAATAAAAATTCATTCAATCAAATAATTTGTAAAACTTAACGTAGCGTAAATTGGAATGTTTCTTTGTAAAATTAAAAATAAGGTATTTAATTAATAACTATTGTAACTATAGTGAAAAAAAAATAGGGTGGTTTGCATCAATATTAGACATAACTGGTTGAAGACTGTACCACCTCAGTCAACCGTGACCATGAGACCTGTAAAGGGCCCGAAACGTCGGTTTGTTTGAAAAAACAAATATACGCGATTTAAATCCGGAAATATAGTTTCATTTCCTATATACTTTTATTACTTTTAGTCCCAAAACGATAGACAGTCACACCGGACCGGCGGCTCGCAGTAACTGTCGCACGATCGCATTCATGCATCTCGCTCATACTCAAAACTGCTGACATATACATAACTCGCACACTTACAGGGTCCCTACATTTAGATAATAGTATGCCTTTTTTGAAGACGGAGTAAAATAACAGTTCACTGCGCAAGTGTTGCCCGTTTTCGAGCAGCTAGTGATTGCAGTCGATAACTATTCTATCGACTATCGACGGAATATTAAATAAAAAATAAATAAATAGCCGAACTTGTTTCATTTGAATCATCCTCGACCCATTTTCATCCAATTACTGAGAACAAATATAATACACAATTAAAAAAGTATAATAACAAGTATAATAGTAATATATATATGTTTATGAAATATACAAAGAGGAGACGTGTTTTAAAGCTTTTCATTTTAATCCAATATACCGCACAGCTATTACAATAGTGTTGTAACTCAAAAAATGTCTTTCTTCAGAATCTTCGAAAAACCTCGAGCTAGAGGATTTTAGGCTAGGTTGCCAGTGATAGATTATTAAAATTAATTGTATAGTATAAAGTTGTTACTGACACGAAAACAATTTCCTACTTACCAAATTTATTTAAAATTAACAGGGAAAAAGTAATTTTAATTTTTTGAGTAAGGACTGTTTTGTTGGGAATATAGCATACAAAAAATGTTTCATTTTGAGTTAAGCAGGTATTATCTAAAAAATTTGGGTTATTGCAATTTAAGCCGATTTACTCTCTTAAAAATGTTATGTTCTGTAATTTTAGACTGCAATCTCAATTTATTTTTATATATTTAATTTTATCTAAAAAATTAAACCAAACGTGAAAGAACAAATATTTATTAAAAATAAAAACAGATTTTTGAAATAATTATGCACAAATTATTATAATTAGGAGAATTTATAACAAAATAAACCTTCTAAAATTAGTCTCATAAAATACAAAATAACATTTCTTCTTATACTTAAATATTTATTAACTGTAATTTACGGTTACCATCTAGGAAAAAAACAGTTTAATCAAAAAATTATCACTGCAAATTGTACACTATAAGTTCGCTAAAACTAGTTTATATTAAGCAGTCTAAAATCACAGAGAAATCTTTATTAGTAAATGACATTACACAATTACCCTCAAAATTTACATTATTTTATTAAAATTAATCAGTCAAATTTAATTTTTTAAAGTAGGTTTCGTAATAGCTCGTTGGAATTATATTTTTATCCAGAAGTTCTTTGATATCTCTTTTTTTATTATGAGATAAAGGTATCTTTTCTAAGTAAGCTTGAGTTAAACCAATTGGAAATAAAGTTTGATCTCTAGTTCTTCTAGTATTGCGTACGCAAACTTTTTGAAAATATTCGTCTTCGTAGGAGTTCTTGTAAAGGAAACAAAATGGATTTTTCTTTTCAACACGAAGTACCTTAATGTCATGCCATTTTACTTGGTCTCGTCATCATTTAAATTAAAATTACTGCCCCATTCTTCTTGGAGTGACTTCAAATCATAAATTTGTCGTGAGTCATCTCATTAACCGTATAAGGAGATCCTGCGATCCTTTTAGCGGTCTGGATTAAGGTGACACATTGCTGTGGTACATAGATTGGGCTAGCTTTAAGAAAGCGCTTAATTCGCTTCTCAATAACGCTATGTACGTTGTCCCCCTCATTCTGAGAGTGACCACGAATTAGAAACTTGTGCGATATACTTTTGACATTCAGTGTTTGTACTGTGTAAGCGTATGCTGCAAGGACATACTTATTTTTCTGTTGGCCACAACAGTTATCGGTATAAAATATAAAGTTAAGTTCTTTATCCGGATAAACTTCTGTCTCTTTATGTATGTAATATATTATGCAACTTCCAATTTCAATTGCGCCGTTTCCCTTCCGTCTCATCCCAAAAGAAGCAATCAACGTTTTTAACATGTAAGTCACTTACTGTCAAGTTAAAACAATTACTTGTACTTTTGTAAAAAATACTGAAATTTGACCCATTGGTATAGGCATCACAGCCTGCAAATCGTAAACAGCGACAATTGTGTCGTCAACTCTAGCTTTGTCTTTTCATTTTTCTTCTCTAGATAGTTCATTTTCTTTTAAATGATTCTCAAAAAGTTAAATAATCTTTTGTTTTCCTTCTTCGTCAGCATTTTTATAACTCTCACAAAGATCGCATTGATCTTTTTTTGCAGTATGGAACGAAATATTAAAATCTTTATTAAAAATGCGATTGACAGTAGACGCAGAAGCAAATGGTAAGTTCTCCTTTACACGATCTTCTTTACAACTTTTTTTATTTGAATTTGCGTAAATCAATAATAGTGTAGCAAATAGCAATACCAAAATTTTGTGTTTTGTTTCAAATCATCTATATTGTAGTAGCACGAATTAATCATGTAAGTTTTACATACCTTAGTTACCAATACCTCTGTAATTCGAAATAGTGCGGTATAAAAAACACTACGACACGTCCTCACCTTATCGAACTCCGATCGTAATTGAAGATAATGCATTGTTGGAGGGGGTGTTGCAATAGTCAGCAAACCATCAACAGTGACACACAGCGCCATCTTTTAGATGTTTCTTACAATATTCTAACGACGGTTTTATTGGCGCGTAGAGAATCAAATTTTATATTCAGAAACGGTATAATCTTGAATTTCACATATTTTTAGTTACAACACTATTTTAATAGCAGTGCGATATGTAAATAATCAAATCCGGCTATTCTTGTTAAAAATGTACATAAATAAAAATTCTCGTTACTAGTAGGCCAACTGTCAAAATAAGAATAAAGAAGGCCATAGCGCAATTAGTAATCACCGTAACATTCACAGTTCAGTCATCGTTGACAAAATTGTATTTTCTTTCACAATCTATCGACAAAACTATCGACAACAACCACATGACTATTTTTTTTTTAAATTATGAAATCTGGCAAACCTACAAATGTCATTTTACTCCGTCTTCAAAAAACACAGACTATAAATTATCTGAATAAATAAATAAATAATAATAATAAAAATTAATCAGAACTAACTTACCTTTCCGAACATTTCGTCGTATATAGCTGCTGCAGCAAATTGCACGTCCTTGTTAAGCCGCAATGGACGATTTCTTGCTGCATTGTTTTCTCCCAGTGCTCGTACGTCTCGCATTACTGCCCAAGCGTCAGGGTACCATACTGTTATGCTGTCCACGTCTACCGTTTGAAGGGAGAAGCCCGCACTAAAATAACAACGCAATATCATTAAAACAACAAAGTCGCAGTAAAACTCCTTGTGAAAGAGGTCGTCCAAGGAAGCACTGCAACCTTATCTATTTCTGCCGCCAAGCAGTAATGCGTTCCGTTTTGGAAGGGTAAGGGTGCTGGTTAAATTACAAGCATAGTGGACTAGTTAAATTACGTCTCAAGGTGGTGGGAACAGTGGCAGTGCCCCTAAAGCGTGAAATAGACAGGGAGCGGGTACGGGTCGGGCGCATGTCAGATCGGGAGTGCAGCGGGTCTAAAGGATTCCGTGTCCGAGTCATCCGAGCCTCAGACGTGCTGCATATTCATATTCACATTAGACCGTGCCGGGCGCGAGCCGTGCATTCAAACCTTGTTCCTCGAACTTGAGGTACCTTGAACCTCAAATTGTGGCTTAAGACAGAGAACAAAAAAGTAACAAGAACGGTCACTCTCCGCCCCTCACTAGCTTTAGATACCGCATCACACTCCTCACATTGACGGTCACATTGACTGAACGGCAATAAGGCTGTCGGCGAGACGTTTTAGCGCCAAGATGGCTTTGACATTTGAATATAGTTTTGATTTATTCATTTCGAAAGTTGTACTTTATTAAATAACATCATTTTATGTTACTATTTATAATGGTTGTGAATTGTGCTGTATACGGCTGTCTATCATAATCTGAACGGGATAAAGAGAGGAGATTCTTTCGTTTTCCGATAGATGAAAAAAAAAGTAAAAAACTTGTCTGACATTCATTCCCTTATTGTTTTCTTCTTTATTTAGTACAGAGTAATATATAATACAGATTTATTACATCAATATATTGAGACGCCATAACTTCGTGAGCTAGTAGACAAGGGTTCTCGAATTTTCAATTTGTATTGCCGATTAATATTACGTAGTGAATATACCTAATTATTAGGTAATGATAAACTTGTACACGCAATTTCAAATACCTTGGTGACCTTATTTAAAAGTACCTGTCCAAAATATTACATTTTAAGTGCTTTTAATATATTTTTTAAACAAATCTTCAATATTATTCTAGTTAGTGAATTAATGAAAACTATAATATTAAATCGATTTAAATACCTAATGAACATGTGTAATTATTAGCATTCTATTAATAGAATTATAGATAACAGCTTCGCGTTAGAATTTTCGCTATGTTACTGCTCAGACCACGTAATAGTACGAGCAAGTAATGGGTAACCCTGCCACTTCGCGCACACATTTGCGCGTGTGTACATAGCGCCTTGCTAGTAGTAGGTAACTAACTTTCGACAGTTGTATGGAGTGTCCGGGGTGTGCTTAAGAGTAAAACTTACAATGAAACAGAGGACTTGCTGGAAGTTATTTCATAATAATTATTATATAGGTAACCATTAATTTATGACTACTAATTATTTTATTATTAAATATAGAAAATCTATTTTTAAAACACAGGTGTACATTTACTTACTTTAGGCACCGCAAATATACATTACATGCTAATATTAAAATATATAGCTTTACTATGAATAATGTATCATTTAGATTCCCTTCTTAATTCTTATTTGAATACTATAATAGCTTATAATAGCTTTATTTACCTTTATTTACATTTGTTTTACTTATATTGTAAAGATTACGTTATATTGAAATAAATTTCTCTTTATCTTTTTATCTTTACCTCGTACGTGCCGCACGATCTTAAATTAGACTGAGTCAATCAGTGGGACGCGGTTTACGCTCGAATAGGAACGTAGTATTATGTCATGTTATAAAGCGCTAGGTAATTTCTTATGCACTCAATTAATTTTTCATCATCCACTTTTTAAAAAAGAACGTAGTCACTCTCTTTAAAGTCGCACACACGGACGGGGCGCGTACGACGCACTGGAGAGTGTTCACATTACAACGAGTTGTAATATGAATCACTTCATATAAAATGTACACAGCATTTCCAATCCGACTCTCGTACGTGTCTCGGGTCGCGCCCGGCACGGTCTAATGTGAATAGTCCTTTATTTCGTGTATTTGTATGGACGACAACACACCGAGCACGGGTGCATGCACCCGCTCTCTGTATGTTTCACGCGATTTAAAGCTCTGAGTGGCACTGCAACTGTTATGGGCAGGGGTATATAGCTTACCACCAGATGCACGACTTGTTCGTCTACTAATATTGTCGACAGATTTACAAGAATTGGAGAGGATGTGGGTTATATTTTTCTGTATCCAATGGAGTAATAAACATTTTTGACGTTACTTCACTTTCCCACGAGGGGTGCGATAAGCTTTCGTTACCAATAATCAAATAATTGGTTGATACAGTGTAGCCGCTCAAAAAGTAGCACCATCATCATAGTAAATACCAGTTTCAACCAAAAAGCTGGAATTACTTTAGACTTTTCTGTCGAATGCGTAAGAACGCTCTCAGAACCAAAAGGTCACATATGGGGTCAGGTATCTTACGGCAGCGACTGTACATGACGGACTAGTATCCCTTGTGCTGGATAAATACAACTTATAGAGAAAAAGCCTACATTTCGGAATTGAACTGACTTTAATTCGAGATTAAGTTTGAATTGGGTTAGAGTTGTTTAAGTTGAGTTGTTTTACAGAACTCACGCGCCAAGTAATCCACCAATATCCCTAATTCTTGTAAATGGGGATATGTGTGAAAACATTCCGCCGATGCGCTCTGTCTCAGCGAGTTGCAACGCCTGTCGGAGCTCGCTTAGGGTATCGCAACCGAACACGCAAGCCAGGAATACCTTAAAAATATAATAAAAAAACTTGTTCACATGTTACATAAGAAATAAACATACTATAGTCTGTCTTTTTTTAAGACGGAGTAAAATGACAGTTCATTACGCTAGTGTTGCCCGCTTGCGAGCAACACTAGTGACAGAAGTGGATAAATATTCTATCGACTGAATATTGGTCACGCTTATGGAATAAATAGCCGAACTTGTTTAATTTGATTCATCCTCGACCATTATTCATCCAATTATTGAGCACAAGTTGATTTGTCAAATTTTGTAAATTCATATTGTCATACATACACTGTATTTAGAACTATGTTTAAGAACAAACAGGAGACGTATTTTGTAATTTTTCACGTTTTTAATTCAATATAGATTATGAAATTCGGCTATTCTGGTTAAAATGTATGTGAATAAAAATTGATCTCGATATTAGTGGGCCAACTCTGTCAGAATTATTCTTATTTTGACAGTACGTCGAAACATTCACAATTCAGTCATTTTTGGCAAAATTTTTCTATCGATAAAACTATCGACAACAACTACATAATTATTTAAAATTTTACGAAACTAGCAACCCTAGAAACGTCACTTTGCCCCATCTTCAAAAAAGACAGACCTAACTGGTGGCGCAATTTTAGAGTTCCGGTAGCCCGAAACCAGCCAACCATGCGGGGAATGCGAATGATGCTTTCCTTCTATTTGTGGACTGTATTTGAATAAATAAGTATCGTTGATTGAAACAAATACGAGTAGGTAAGCTGGGAGTACAATGCCTCTTGAAACCAACCACGTGGCCGTCCTGCTGATGAGTTTGACTGATCTTGGTTCTTAACCTCGCCTAGGGAGCGATTCTTGATGTTGCAAGTTCACCAAAGCGTAGGATCACTATCGCGTCCGCGCACGTCCGCTAGGTGTCACCAGTTGGTTGACATCTCGCTCTTGCGTGCGAGTTAGGTATGCGCGGGAAAGGGATGGAATAAGGAAGTAAATATTGGTCCAATCAAACCATTGCTAATACGATGCAAAGATGAAAGTGTCTAAATTTCGCGAGGTAAATTCAAATATCATTTTCGGCTAAACCTCTAACTTTAGTCATAGTATATATAATAAGAGAAGTAGTGTAACTCTATACTAATTTTGAATCGAGTTTAATCAAACATGAAATCTTACCCCATCTGGCTTCAAGCACTTCAAGACGTTGTCAAATACTCCAGGAAGGTCATTCACCCAATGTAAAGCAAGTGATGATACAAATAAGTCTATGCTGTTTTCAGGAAACTAAAACAAAATAGTACATTGTGTATGCGGCGCGGGCGCCTAAGAAATTTCTAACGAGAGTCTATAATTCTATACTCTAATGTCTCGAGGTTTGGAATTTTCGCTTCACAACACAACAATTACAGAAATGGCGGGTTAATTGTTTGTTTTTTTATATAAACAGATCACCAGCTATGCCAATATAGATAACTTGAACTATTGCAAAATGTTGTAAAAGGTAAAGATACAAAATACTAAGAATGCTGCAGAATTTGAATTTAAAAAATTAATTTAGCTAATGTTTAATTTTTTCTATATTTCGAGCTTACATGTAATAATTCAGATTTTTTAATATAAGCAAAAGCTTATCTTAACATAGAGAAGTACAGTGCAATTAAACTTCTACAAGATCCATTACTGCCATAAGCGAGCAAGCGCAATGAAAAACAGATTATGTTTAAAAATATATTATAATGTCGCAATAACGCACACGAAACATGCAACATTATATTATCATTATTATAATAATAAATAACCTTTTTAAGCTTGTTTACATAGTTTAATTGTTATTAACCGACTTTAAAAACAAATGAGGATCCAATTCGTTTGTATATTCTTGGTGTGTTACGCAATCTCAGACATTTGTGAATCAATCTTGATGATTCTTTTTGGTTGGAACGGGGATACCTCAGTAATGGCTCCATTCAAATTAAAATTAAAGGGTGGCAAATTAGGGTATGAATCCAGATTATTGGATTCCATTCACTTTCCATTAACTAATTTCAATAGAACTTGGCAAATAGATGTGATTCAACAAACTTTTGATGTAGCTTTTTTTCATAATTTATATATTTCATTTCCTTCGCTTATTTCTATCTTAAATAACAGTATAATAGAAGTGACACTCACGTACATCAATGTGCTCCTCATCCATGATCCGTTTCTCAAACTGAACTCCTTCTCCGACTATGGCCTTCTCCAAATGAGTCGGAGACGTATCACAAAGGGTTACCTTTTCTACGCTGTCTGGTTGAAAATGACGAGATACATAGCCACGAGCTGCACCTGAAATCGGAAAGATGACTTCCTGTTAATGTGATAGGATATGCTGTGGTTATTAGTTATACCCGCTAAGAGGCCCATCAAATTAGACGCTTGTACTTAGGCCCTATATACATATATAGTTTTAGAATTAGACAGAAAACTTATAAAATCTAAAGGCAAGGTAGCCCAAGCTTTTGAATCGTTCTTTTCGGAAATTGCTGTGATCACTACAGAATCCTTAAATTCCTCCCCTTCTCTTACTATTGATCTCCTAAACGAAAATGTTAACGTTTGTGGCAGTTTATTTAATTTCCGTCATGTTAATCCACAAGACATCATAAACGCTTTTAAGTCAATACATGTTAAAAAAACTGAAGATTTCTGGGGTATATCAACTAAAGTTATAGACTCAATTATTGATCCAATTTCCCCACATTTAGCTGTAGCTTTCAATAGGTGCGTTAACGAAGGTGTTTTTCCCGAATTAATGAAATACAGCAAGGTTATTCCCTTATTCAAAAGCGGAAGGAAAGTTGATCCTAGCAACTATAGGCCCATTTCAATTTTACCAGCTGTAAGTAAAATGTTCGAAAAGGTTATGCTGACTCAATTACTGTCCTATTTCGGTAGGAATCATATTTTTCATAGTGAACAGTTTACTAGTGGTAGATCGACTAGCAATGCGGGGGTAGCGCTACTAAAACACATCTTTGGTGCTTGGGAAAGGTCCCAGAACGCTATTGGTGCTTTCTGTGACCTCTCAAAAGCATTTGATTGCGTTGATCATATTACTCTTATTAGGAAGCTGGAACATTACAGTGTAATGGCAAGGCGTCGAAACTTGTCTTGTCATATCTCAATGGTAGAATTCAGAAAGTAGACATAAATGGAGTGACTTCTTTGAGTTCTCTGGTAAAAATGGGTGTTCCGCAGGGCTCAATACTTGGACCTTTCTTATTTCTAATTTATATTAATGATCTGCCATTCTTTGTTAAGGACCACAGCGAAATAGTGTTGTTTGCTGATGACACATCCTTGATTTTTAAAACAGACAGACATGACATTAACTATGACCATATTAATGATACCCTCTCTAAGGTAGTTTATTGGTTTAATGCTAACAATTTATTGCTTAATGCCAAGAAGACAAAATGTGTTCAATTTGAATTACCTAACGTAAAATCGACTAGTCCAAGCATAGAAATAAACGGAGAAAAGTTAGACTTTGTTAATAAAGCAGTCTTTTTGGGAGTGACCTTCGATAGTAAACTTTAATGGTTTCCACATATATCTTCCCTGGCCAGCAGGTTAAGCTCCGCTGCATACGCAGTCCGCAGAATACGTGAGCTTACCGATGTTAGTACTGCTAGACTAGTTTACTTTAGTTACTTCCATAGTATAATGTCCTACGGGATTCTCATGTGGGGTAAAGCGGCAGATATTCAAACCATATTTGTATTGCAAAAACGAGCGATTCGTTCTGTGTACCGTCTAGGATCTCGGGTTTCTCTCAGAGAAAAGTTTAAGGAGATTGGTATCATGACTGTGGCATCACAGTACATTTACTCAAATATTTTATATGCTCGTAAAAATGTACATATTTTCAATAAGAAAGAAGATATCCATAATATTAACCTTAGAGCTAAGTCCAAACTCATGGTACCACGATTTCGTTTAACCAAGGTAAACAACTCTTTTATGGGGAACTGTGTACGTTTTTACAATAAGATTCCGGAGCATATATTAAGTTTATCATTTCCTAAGTTTAAAAACTACATTAAAAATATTTTGATCGAAAAATCATATTACAAAATTTAAGACTACGTGTTAGATAAAGATGTATGGAAAGACGACATGGCTCCAGAATCCACACAAATTTGATTCAAAGTGTATTCCATAGCATTTAAGTTTATTTGAAAAAAGCAATCCCTAGAGTTTCTTGCTCGTTCTTCTCAGGGAGGTCAGCGTAGTGAACGAGCAGTAGTTTAAATGTGATGTTTTTAAGTGTAAATTTATTTTACCTATGGAATAAATAATCTTTGACTTTGACCTAACACGATGAAAATAAGCTTACCAAGTTCAACAGCATTTTTAAAAGTCCTTTTAATATCGAAAACCCTGTCAGCTGTGCGCCAACCGACCTCTTCTTTTACGTATTCACACAAATGATAATCCTGTTGTTGAGCAGATATTTCCCGTTGTTTTATCTTCGCATCTCGATCAAAAATGTCCATAGTACGATATACAGAACTTGCTGTTTTCTGTTTACTGGCATTTGTACTTGAAAACCTGGTTACAACTTTGCTAGAACAATTGAAAAATTGCGACAGATTCAGTTGACTTTTCACGAAGCAAAACCTCAGTGTGTATTGAAACATCTTTGTTTGAGACATTTTTTAACTTATTTTAGTTAAAAATCTAATAAAAGAAGTCAGATAAGAACATTTTCACACGAAAATTGATAACTTTACGTCGTTTTGAGGTTATGTTATGATTTTTCCGAAGTGACAGGCGGAAATACGTTCATAAATATGAACCATAAACTCTATCTTGTTTTAATTGATACAGTTTTTAAACTAAAACTACTACCATTGCGGGCTTTGCGGGGATGGAGAGTTGGCGACGGGCTTTTGAAATTAGTAGTACGTACATACTGACATATAATCTCCTTTGTGCTTCCTAAATTATCAGTATGTGTTGTCTGTGATCGTTGAAGTGTATCTGTCATACAAATATTTTTAAATCTATCTATTGTACGTGTGCTCGTTTCTAGTTCATTAAAGCCAAGTTTCTATTGGTATTTCGTTTCCATGTATCAATTTAATTAACTAGTGATAATGACGGACTCGAAGAATGACTCTAAAGAATCTTTATCACATTCTCTAGCAAGATATTTACGCCCCGAAAGGTTTGATGTTGAACCCACGGATCCCGCTGCTGGAGATAAGTGGGTGCATTGGCTGCGTACATTTACAAACTTCCTAACTGAACATGCCCCTGATTCTGGTGACGTAACGGATTCCATAAAATTAAAATTATTATCGAACTACTTGACAACCAGTATATTCATTCAAATCAAAGACTGTCAAAGCTACAGGGACGCCATTAATATTTTGAATAAAACGTACGTTAAACCTCAACATGAAATCTTATCCCGCCACGTCCTCGGAACACGGAAACAAAAGCAAAGTGAAAGTATTTCAGACTACAGCCGAGCTTTGCATATCCTTGCACAACAGTGTAACTTCCAGGCAGTCTCAATTGAAGAACACAGAGACCAAGCTATACGAACCGCCTTTATAGCTGGTATTCTGTCACCTAAAATTCGGGAACGATTATTAGAAAAACAAATTATGTCTTTGGACGAAGCTTATAATCAGGCTGTCACTCTCGAAACTGCTGAAAAGGACTCTGTAACTATGAGTATGAGTGTCCAAAATACTATGAATGCTTTGCCAGTGCCAATTCCACAAGAATTACCAGCACCCTTCATACCGCTTCAACAAAACGCTGCAGTCCCGCCGCCACAGATATCAATAAAGCGTTGTTTCTTCTGCGGTGGTAAAGTACATCAAAGAATAAAGTGCCCCGCCTTTCACGCCTACTGTCAAATGTGTACTAAGAAGGGTCACTTTGCTTCTGTCTGTCGTTCCCGTGGCAATCCTTCTACAAGTAACGCCATCCCAAGCCCCGTCGCTCCAGTCGAGTTCTCACCGTGTCCATGTTCTCACGAAACAGTCAACACTTTATACTCTGCGGCATCTCCGTCAAGCCTAGAAAAAGCCACAATAGCTATTACTATTAATAACACCCGTGTCGACGCGTTAATTGACACAGGAAGTTCAGTGAGCTTTATTGATAGAAGCATAGCTCGGATGATGAAGTTACAGCAACGTCCGTATAAGCATACTATTAATCTGGCGTCTCTAAGCCACACATCAACAGTCAACGGTGTATGTTTCGCTACGCTAGAAATAAACAATCACATTTACAAGCAACGTCCTTTTCTCGTTATTGACAACCTATGCGCGGACGTCATTATTGGTCACGACATACTAAGGAACCATTCAAAGCTCGAATTCCAATTCGGAGGATCTAGACAGCCCTTGCATATTTGCGTGATGGAAGCTTCCGTACCACCAGCTTCTATTTTTACTAACTTGTCTGCAGATATTACTCCTATTGCTATCAAGTCCAGGCGCCATAACAATGACGATGAAGAATTTATTCAAACAGAAATATCGAAGCTTTCAAATGATGGAATTATCGAACAGAGTGTATCTCCGTGGCGCGCCCAGGTACTTGTTGCTGGTGGAGGAGCCCATCGAAAGAGAATGGTCATCGACTACTCCAGAACAATCAATAAGTTTACATATCTAGATGCATATCCATTACCTAATATTGAGTCGATAGTCTCGAAAGTGGCTAAATACAATCATTTTAGCCAGATCGATTTAAAGAGCGCTTACCATCAGATCCCTATCCTAGACCGAGAAAAAAAATACACAGCATTTGAAGCCTGTGGTAAGCTGTGGCAATTCAAACGTATTCCCTTTGGTGTCACTAACGGAGTCGCCGCCTTCCAACGTTCTCTTGAACATATTATCGAAAAAGAACAGTTACATGGGACCTTCTCTTATCTCGATGACGTTACCGTTTGCGGTAAAAATAAGGTAGAACACGACGAGAATTTAAAGAAATTCATGTCTGCTGCAAAAAAGTACAAGCTCACATTAAACGAACAAAAGTGTAATTTCAGCAAAAATTCTATTAGCCTACTAGGATACACGGTCAAGAATAATGTTATCGAGCCTGATAAGGACCGCCTTGATCCGCTTATAAAACTACCGTTACCGCGTAACGCTGCTGAACTCAAGAGAGCCCTTGGGCTATTTGCTCATTACGCCAAATGGGTCCACAATTTTTCTGCGAAAATTCAACCGTTAATCAACAACAGCCAGTTCCCTTTAAACGAAAATGGCCAGCGTAGTTTTAAACTTCTGAAATCAGAAATCGAGAAGGCAGCATTGGTTGCTATTGACGACAAAGAAACCTTGACGGTAGAGACTGACGCTTCTGACTTCGCTGTAGCTGCAACATTATCTCAAAAGGGTCGCCCAGTTGCATTCTTCTCAAGAACTTTGTCAGACAGCGAACGTAAACACGCTGCCGTAGAAAAAGAAGCATGTGCAATCGTCGAAAGCATTAGAAAATGGCGTCATTACCTCATCCACAGACATTTTCTCCTCATCACTGATCAGAAATCCGTAAGCTTTATTTTTAATCAGAACCATGCGAGCAAAATTAAAAACGATAAAATTGAAAGGTGGAGGCTGGAACTGTCGTGTTACAAGTACGA